CTGGTAAGACTTGGTTGTAAGCCTTGCTGGGATTCTCTTTAAGTGGCTTTCTGGAGAGTTAGCGAGGGATAGTGAAGCTCACAAACAAAGAAGACAGGACGGAGAGTGGTGTAGAGAGCAGAAAAGAAGACAAACAAACTCCAAACAGCAGATATTTCTGCCCCTTTCACTGTCTCTATTTGTCTGTTGGATAAAAGCGTTCGCATCTTGAGATCCCATTTTGGCTGCACTAGTTGAATTACACAGCTATGTTCCACAAGGACACCTGTGGGATGCCATTCAATCCAGTGGCATGTCTCCACACAGACTCAGTTAGAGCAGGAGACAGGAAAAATCTGAAGACAATATACTTCAGAACGGCCATGGAGAGTAAGCACATCTCAGCAAGCTTCAGAAAATAATCAGTCTTCACCCGGAGCAAACCCTCAGAACGTCCCCTACAGCAAGTCCATTTAAAAATCAATGTGGAACAGTAACAGCTGAGGAACCGTCCGCAGAACTGGAACATCTGTGTCTCTCACATTTAGACTGAATAAATGTGGCTGTATACACATTTCTCAGTTCATTCACACTGATTGCAAAGTAAGCGCAGCAAAACACATCAGTTTAGCCTGAAAATGTACGCAAACTCTCACATGCTATTGTTTGCTACACACAATATGTTCACTCAGTGGATGAAAGTCCTGCACGTTTCTTTGAGGTACTGCAATATTTAGTTTCCACACAGAAAAAGAAAAGCATAGAACTGAAGCTTTGAGGATACAAATTTTATAAACAGTGCAAATTTCAATTGCAAGAGCTGCAGTTTGTATTATACGCAACATTATTCATAGTTGTCTTAACAAGTCTTGAGTTAAGAAATTTAACCTTAATATAAAGAAAATAATCACATTTAATTTGAATCGGAATAACGGTTAGAAAAAAAAGGCATGTTTAGATATTTTTCCCCAGTTGTTGAGTCCTGCCCCCCCCATTAATACTGGGGGTCAAACAGTGAGGCCTTTAGGGTAAATTTATGTCAGCTGCACCTTCGGCCAGAAGTACTAGAAATGGATGACTATGTTTTTCATGGTATGTTGCATCTGTGAAATGGTACCTTTATAGAAAAAGGAGGGAATGTTCACTCAGCATCTGCTAATGGTACTGAAAAACAGTTAAAATATCTATTTGTGCATTTGCCAAAAAATGTCCACACAATGTAAAGGGGAGCTGCCAGTTTTCAAATGCACTCTTACAACTAGAAAAGTGGCCAAAAAGGTTCTTTGCACTAAAGCCATACAACACGTGTCAGGCTCCAGTCCTGACGGGCCAAAACAATGCAGACTTCAGCACACTGCCTCATTATCTAATTAGCAAGGCCTTCATGAGCTGAACTCAGACCGTTAGATAAGGGTAAACACTAACCTCCACAGCACTTTGGCCTGGAAGGTCCCCAGTTTGACATGCCTGCCATACAAGAACCACTTTTGGTTAGCTAAAGAACATTAAACTGATGCTTCTTTAAGAAACCATTTTATCTTTCATGTGGAACATTTTTTGTTTATTAATTTTTGGCTTCACTTTTATTGAAGCATTTCCATATTACGGTCATTCTAATCTATGGATAGTTCTAAAATGTATACAGTAAAAATGATTGCACTTATTTCAGTCTACACAAACAGAACATCAGCTAATGAACTACACACACGCACACTTTGAATGCACTGAAAGCAAAACCTGAGCCTAAACATGATCACACGCAGAACGCAGGAAAATATGGCAAAAACACATTTTACTGCTAAATTATATTACTGTTCTAATTCTGTTATTATCTTTCTGATTTCCAAGAATTGCAAAAGGTAGGCTACAGAGGGACTGACGTGAAGTGTCACAATTTCTATCGTTATGTGTTTAATGTCTTCTAAACACAGCTGTGACCTACATTTCTCACGTTACTCACTGTGTCTACCGCAGTGGCAGCAGCAGTCACAGATAATGGCCGCCTACAGAATTTCCTAATAAACTGCTTCATTCTGTTATTTTATGTTTGTATTCATTCGTATGTACAGGGAGGTCTGAACATCACCAGTTTACACATAATGTTGCATATTGTAATTGACTGTTCACTAACAGTTAATAGTTAATAGATAGTGGAAAACAGCAGAAGTTGATTTTAAATGTTTTGAGGTTTGAATTGATGTAAAACATTGATTTTGTTCATCTAAACTAAAGTTTTACTTTGTTTCATTGAAAGTATTTTTTTGAGTTTAATTAAACCACATAAATTGCTTGTTACCACATAAAATATTTTAAATTAAACTGACAAACCATTGTTTCCAGTGAATGAAAAAAAACATTACATCAGAGAAATATTAAAAACAGAACGTTATCTTTAAGTAAGAACAAATGAATTAATAGAAGCCAAAAAATCTAGTATTTAGTATTATCTAGCAATGAAAAAAGTCAAAGACACTGTAAATGCTTAGTTTACCTGGTGTGCATTATTTGGCCAGATGTTCTCATCCACATCACACCTAATGTCCTGTCTTGCTGACAAGAACAACCCAGCAAACATGGTTATGCCGTGACAACCTATTGTTTTGGTGCCCACAGTGTTAAAATGAAAGTTGTGACAATGTTTTCTGACAGCATTCTAGGAAGTTGTGACAACGTAGTGGCAACGTTGTCAGTACGTTCTCACAACCTCCTACAATCTTCATCCTCAAGTTCCCTTACGTTGTGCATGGAACTCGATAACATTTTGCTAACATGTAGTCATAACACCATAAAACAATGTTACTTAATAATAAGGGTTGTGGCAACGTTGTGACAATCGTGTCCAGACAATGTAAACAGCACCACCTTTTGATAACGTTGTAGCAATGATGTAGGAAAGTAGACAACATTGTGACAACATTGTGTGTTTGCTGGGAAATGAACACTTATTATGTTATGGGCCCATAATGGACTTTGCATTGTGAACAAAATAACTCCAGAAGTGACCCTTTTAATAGATGGTCAACAACTGGGGAGGACTTCAGCTCAGATGGGAATCAGTTTTAATTGATACATAAGACAAGCTAAGACAGAGGAGGAAAGAGGAGACATTTAGAGAAACTAATATAAATGTAATTTGTTTTTTTGCTGCAATAAGAAAACTGTAAGATTAGCGATGATGGACCACTGGGCTGCCTGTCAGTTCAGCCTCTATTCAGCAGCCTGATTCCAATAACTATGTTATGATGAACTGATATATAAACTGAAATACAAATGAATTTGTGGCATGCGCCCGCCCCCCGGGCCCCGACGATGACGGCCGCGAGAGCCGGCAGGAAGGCGGGGCCCGAACAATCAGCGGCGACGAACCTCGGCCAGGACGGCAGGGAGAGAGCCGCGAGTGGGGAGGGGGCGGAGCGCAAAGCCCGAGCTCCTCCGAGTAACCCGAGTGGCGCGAGTGATGGCGGGAGGAGGAGGAAGACGACGGCGCCGGCAACGAGAGGCACCAGGGCAAGGAGCGAGTCCCGAGCTCCGCCGCCTGGGCCCCGCCCCCTGTTACGCAGCGAAGCCGCTCCATTACACCTCACGTTCGACCCGGGCGGCTGAGCTGCCAGCTGGGGGCGGTGACGAGGAGGCGGAGCAGCGAGCTCTCGTTCCCTCTAGGCTCAGGTGCTCACGCTGCCCTTGATGAGAGCCAGCTGATGCTGATCTGGCTGGCAGCGTGAGCGCCTTTTAAAAGAGCTGAGAGGGAACAGAGAGAGGAGAGAGGGGGATGAGCAGCAGCAAGAGACAGAAGAGAAAAGCTTATTTAGGAGAAGGACTGAAAAGTCTGGCTGAAGCCACTGAAAAGTGACCAGCATGGTTTGGTTGTTTTGAGTTGTGTTGATTTGTTAATAAATATGGCTGCTGCAACCCTGAACCCTGCCTCCAGCGTCCTCCTTGAGCCAGGGGTAGCACATGCCGTGCTACAGAATTGTTTTGAAAGTATTTGCGCTCGCATTACATTATATTTTTATGAAATTAAAAAAATTCAGTAAATATTAGAAAAAAAAAACAAACTAATCAAACTGAAAAAAAAGTTCTTTACATGTTATGATAAGCTAACAAACCCTTTATGTATGGTGTCCCTGAGAGCCTAGAGGCTAAGGCTTTGGCTAACCTAGCTTAGTTAGTTACTGTAGCCCTAACTAACAGTGCTAACATTAGCAATGTATGCTAATAAAAATGCTCTTTTCAACGAGTATGTCTGAAAACACCTGGAAAATAATTGTGGCAACCAACTACAAACATTCAGTACGTGTTTATAATTTTCTTACATGTATTTAAATTAAATAATATTTGCAACAGTTATACACCTACACATTGGGCAGTCATGGGCTGGAGGTTAGGGAACCAGCCTTGTGACCAGAAGGTCGTCGGCTCAGGGGTTTGACTTCAGTACGTGACTGAAGTGCCCTTGAGCAAAGCACCTAACCCCCAACTGCTCCCTGGGTGCCGTGCATAGGGCTGCCCACTGCTCTGGGCAAGTGTGCTCACTGCCCCCTAGTGTGTATGTGGTGTTTCACTGCATGAATGGGTTAAGTGCGGAGGTAAAATTTCCCAGTTGTGGGACTAATAAACTTCTCTTAATCTTAATCTTAATACCAAGTGTGCCTAACCAGATTAACCCTCTGGGCTAGCGCAGGTCTCGAGCTGTTCCTCACTAATAAACCGTGGTTCACTGCGCTGATGGTGATTCACTGACAGAGAAAAAAAGGCAATGCAAGACATCTGATTGGCCACGTTTTTGCCTGATTAGCTTCACAACTTAGTATAAAGTTTACAGAAAAGTGTGCAAAAACTGATCACAAGGGCAATCACAAAAAATGATGTGTGTAATAGTGAGTTTTGACTCAGTTCCGAGTCTGGAGTCGATCAAATCAAAAATTAAAATCGATAGTGAGACTTGGCCCACCACCTAACTGAAGAATTACAGTTTTCTCATGATAGTGATGCTGTGCTTGTTTTCAGCCTTTGGGACTGACCGTTAAAAGTGCGGTTCCACATCTTCTTGGTGACCACATGACCCGGTGGCTGCAGTCCTGATTGGTTCATCGACTCGTTCAAGGCATAAGCGTATAAGAGCACTCCGTCATGAAAGCCTCCAGCAATCAGGTTCTTCTAAAGAAAGAAATGAAGAACATGTAAAACACAATTTGACAATGTAATGAGTCTTTTTCCCTGTAAATCTGTCTAGTTTGACTTCAGTAATATCCGTACTACAGAACAGTGAACATATTCGATTGATCTGCTTTTCTCACATCTTCTTCATTTAGACGACGCCACTCTCGCCTGATCTCCTCACTTCATCTTCTCCTCAGCTCACACTCATCTCTCCTCCCTCTGGGTTCTTTCTCTTTCATCATTGCTAAAGCATTCACAGCGCTCCCCCGTGTCAACACGTTTGTTTCCATTCTTAAGTAAGCAGTGTTGATGAATGAGGAAAAAATGAAAACTGACAGGAGGCCTGAAACAAAAACATGAAACACAGGCCCTTTTCAGGATTCCAAATGTCTTGAGAATCCCAAGTTATGCAACAACCTCCTTAATCTTAGTACAACTCTGTATGACTTCCTGCTGTCACTGCATACCGAACAACTTTCTTTTTTTCTTGTTTCTTTCTTAACAGTATATCTTGGACACGAGGTAAACACAGGCAAAACTCTATGCACAAGACTTGTGAGCTATTAAACTACTAAAGGAACAGTTCAGTGAAGAATCACCTCTACACAATTTTCCCCTTATCCCAAATGTATCCATCAACCAAGTCAAGCTTGGAGTCTGAAGTCTGCTTCTTTAATGTAGCTAACAGGTAACTACGGAGCCCTGCTGGTGACATCTTGTATAAATAGAACTAATGTGTTGCCACGCCGTATTAATGCGTGGGAACGAGATCCTAATGAGTGGTCACAACTAAGCAAGATGTGGGAACGAGATCATGCCTTATTAAGCTGTGGTCAAGGATTAATCATCTCATTCCCAGACCTTGCTAAGAAGGGGCCACGCATTAGAATCTCAATCTCATGCCTTACTAAGTCATGGCGACAACTTAATTATCTTGTATCCACACCTTACTAAGTCGTGGCCACACATTATTTTTATTTATATGGAATACCACCAGCAGAGCTCCATAGGTAACAGTTTGTGTGGGAATGCTTTGCAGTTTTGTGTCATTATTTGCATCATGTTTGATGCTTGTATGAAAAAAATCAGGATTTAAGGTGGGGGCTATGGAATCAAACAGGCGGCATGGTGGGTAGCGCTGTCGTCTCACAGCAAGAAGGGCCTGGGTTTGGTTCCCCGGCTGGGCGACCAGGGTCCTTTCTGTGTGGAGTTTGCATGTTATCCCTGTGTCTGCGTGGGTTTCCTCCGGGTACTCCGGTTTCCTCCCACAGTCCAAAGACAAGCAGTCAGGCTAATTGGACATGCTGAATTGCCCCTAGGTGTGAGTGTGAATGTATATGTCTGTCTGCCCTGCAATGGACTGGTGACCTGTCCAGGGTGTATCCTGCCTTCTACCCAATGACTGCTGGGATAGGCTCCAGCTCCCCAGCGACTAAGAAGGATAAGCGGTTTAGAAGATGTGTGTGTGGATTCAAAAATCTAAGTTTTTGCCATGACAAGCTAACACACCCCTTTATGTATGGCAGGCATGTCAAACTGCTGACCGTCCAGGCCAAGTGCTGTGGAGATTAGCATTTACCCTCATCTACTGCTCTGAATTCAGCTCATGAAGGCCTTGCTAATTAGCTGATGATCTGAATCAGGTGTGTTTAATGAGGCAGTGTGCTGAAGTCTGCAGTGTTTTGACCCGCAAGGACCGGAGACACATGTGATGTGTAGTGTCGCTGAGAGCCTTGAGGCTAAGGCTATAGGTAACTTAGCCTAGTTAGTTACTGTAGCCTTACCTGATGGTTGACAGTGCTAAGATTAGCAATGTAGGCTACTAGTGCTCTTTTCAACAAGTATGTTGAAATACCGCCTGGAAAATATTGTGGCAGACATTTAAAATGTGATGTCAAAAAACTAATAGATTAAACTGTTGAAGACTATTAATTAATGATAAAAAGCCCTTCTCCTGCCAGATCATGATGAGGTTAAAGGGGAACCGCACTGATTGTGTAGAATGCAGTGGTTGAGACGTAAACAAAGTCATTCAGAGTGGTTTGATGTGAAACGGTTCACTGCAGAGAAACTTACAGGCTCAGATTTCTTTACAGTGGCGCTGATAGGAACCAGGGGTTGTGATGTCTACAACACAAATATAGCCAGTTTATTTACTAACCAAAATGACCAGTAAATCTACACGTCTTTTTTACATGAATTATTATATGTAATGTTGATGAGGGGAAAATAGTGGTAAATCTGAAAAAAAAAAAGTTTCTTACAACACACTGCATGTACCTCCCTCTCTGCCATGAATGAATTTCCAAATGTTTTAGGCCAAAAGCATTTCATAAAACTAATCTAAAACAATGTCTAAGGCATCAGGCAGTGTTTTCATAACCATTTGGTGTAATACATTTCTATGAGAGAGCTTTCACACTCTTCAGATGTCTGGTTCCTATCATCACCACTGTGAAAAATTCTGACTGAAGTTTCTCTCGAATGAAGCATTTCACACCAGACAACTCTGAATGTTAATTGCTATTTATGCAGAAATGTTGGAATTCCCCTCTAAGGTTCAGCTTGTTGTAAAAAGACTGTTGACCAGTGGACCTGAGAAACAGATCAGTGATGTCCACATCCGTCCCTCATTGCTAATACTGACGCTTATGTACCAAGGGATAAACCAACTTATGTACCATAGATATCACCAAGAAACAGAAGTCATTCATCTAATATGTACAATGTGTCTGAGGTTCGTGCTTTACGGAGATGTTTCATGGTGAAGAGGGGACTTTATGAGGGGTCTAGCTGGAGACGACCAAGTCTGAGTTTAGCAACAGCGTCTGATTTGTATCAGATCTTTTTCTCCGCCGTTGAACTCAGAGTGGAAGTGCAACCTGCAAGAGACTCTCCTGACAGAATCAGCATGGAAATGTAGAGGAGAGGAAAGATGCCTCCAAAAAGAGCAACTAGATGGAGAGGAAAAAGAAATCGGGGGGAGATGCAAAAGTGAGGTTGCTATGGCAACTATAGACAGGGCTCTGACAGCTGCTGTGTGGACTCATCCACGCTGAACATGTGTGTGTGACAGAGGAGAGAGGGAGAGAAGGAGAGATGAAATGCAAATGAAGGACAAAAAAACGGGAGATTAATGGAGAGAGGTGGAGATGGGCAGGAGGCGACATCTGAAATGTTCAGATAAAAAATAAATCTTTAATTGAGCAGCAGCTTTCATACAAAAAATGCAGATATTACAAGATCCTACAAGCCGTTAGAGAGTAAACATGCGAGATGACAGTGAGTCCCAGATAAGAAGACCAAATCCCTGAAATGAGAAGAACCAGATTATGAGGAAACAACAGTGATGAGCTCCAGGACGGTACAGACAGATGGGGAGAAATGAACACAAGATAACAGTTTGGGCGTTTTTCCACCACAAAAAGTACTGGAAAATTTGGCACCAGAAAACTGGAACTGTGTTGTTTCCACTGGCCATTAGTCCAGCACCGAAGGTTCCAGTCTTATGGTTTTTGGTATCTGTTCAAGATTGGTACCGACAGGACCGAATGGTCACCTCTGTCTTTGCTAACGGTTGCTAAAGTCAATGAAAATTTTGCGAATTCTTTACTCTTTTAGGTGAAAATAGTCACCTAATGCTATTCCATCACCAGCAGACGCCCCAGAATGTAAACTAGAACGATATGTTGATCTAACAGTTGCCTTTTATTTCTTTGCAAAGAGTTTGCTGAGGTAACCTACTTAGGAAGCTAATGCTATCCCAATAAGCATTTATTAAAGCCTCCGTATTGTTTTTAGCTCATATTTTCACACTCAACAGAGAAAAATATGAACTTTGTTTGATTCTATTCATGATTCTGTGTTATTTTGTGAGAGTGTGAGTGTGGAGCGCACTGTTTCCTGTCAGCACAACTAGTGCTAAGCTAAGATAAATGCTAAGCTAGGTAGCAAACACATCAGTTCACACTCTTAAGAGAAAAATTGAAGCTTTGCTTGACTCTACATGTGTCTGAGTAAATGTAAGCACTTTTGTGAGTGTCTTCAAACAGAGCAGTGCAGTATATTGTCTCAAATCAGCCAAAACGTTAAGCTAACTAGCAAGCAAGATGGCTAATTAGCCAAATTAGATGCTTTTGAGTGGCTGTTATGAGGTTCCAGCTGCCTCAAGCAGGTGGAAAATGAACCAGAACTCAAACTGTAAGTTCTGCTGGTTTTCGTTTAGGTTGGTTCTTATTTTTTAGTGTGCAGTGGAAAACAGAAAGAAGGGATGTAGGGGTTTAATGATACATCAGGTTCAATGCTATTTTTTATTTAAGTCAAGATTTGATGCATAAGCCCCGCCCCCTTCCCTGCTCACTTCACTCTGATAGGATAAATCCAAATGCCTAGTTATATCATAAAAATTGTTTTCTCTGAAAGACGGTCAATGAGAGACACTCCACAAACACCCACAGGCGTATCAGTGATATAGTTTTCATACTTTCATTTTTATTGTTTTTCAGTACGGTATTATTTCTCAACATCCTTATCAGGCATAACAATCAAGCCTGGTCCTATCTATCCTACCTCCTACCTGTCCATCCACTCGATTTTATATTTTATATTGTACACTGGGATTTGTATTTTTATTTTATGAATCACATTTTGTGTTTATTAATGTCATGTCTGTCTTTCTATGAGCAACACCTGCCAGAAAAACAAATTCCATGTATCTGAAAACAGCAGTAAACTGATTCTGATTCTGTCTGATGTCCTACACGGCCTTTCCTGTCACACAATCACATAGCAGCCTCCTCTGCACCAGACTCTGAGTGTCACCAGCCTAGTAACCACTATCACCATCTACAATCATAACTCACCTTCATACATACCCTGGACTCTCATGTTGAGATGTACTAATGATGTGTTAAGCTCTGTGCATGTCAAGCCTTGTTATCTCTGATTACTTGAAGGGAAATTTCTCAGATTTTCCCAAAATGCCTGCACAATTAAAT